CATATATGCACTGATCCTTTGACTGGATTCATCCTCGTCATCATTCTCCTCGCTACAGCTCCAAGTAACATAAGCTTTCTCCTTTTTGGCTAAGGGGCAATCAGCTTTGAAGCAACTGGCTTGACTATGGGATCTATCGGTGCTGGCTCCCCCTCTTTTGTTCTGGAACATGTGTCTATTTCCCTTTCCAGGCTCTCTATCATTGTCTCCTTCCCTTGATCGATTTTGAAAGTTTCCTCTCTTCTTTTCTCTTCTCATTTTTAGGAACTTAGCAACATGTTTGCTAAGCATGGCCAACTCTTCATCTTCCATCTCTTCAAGACACTCCAGTTCCTCTTCTTGCGATGTAGGATTGAAGGCAATACCCTTCTTTTCCCTCTTTGGTTCTTCCAATTCTTCTCTTCTCAGTTTCTCCTCGTGTGTAACCAAAGATCCAATGAGCTCGTCCAGGCTTAGCTTGGTGAGATCCTTGGATTCTTCAATAGCAGTTACCTTAGGTGTCCACCTTTTAGGTAATGCCCAGAGCACCTTCCGAACCATATCGGCACTTGCATACTCCACCTCCAGGTTTCTCAGGCTATTTACAATGGTAGTGAATCGTTCGTTCATTTCCCTAATTGATTCATCAGGCTTCATAATGAAAAATTCGAATTCTTGTTTCAGACTGTTTATCCTTGAGATCTTGACATGGGATGTACCTTCATGTGAAATTTGAAGGTTGTCCCAGATTTCTTTTGCCGACTTGCAGCCAGTTACTCTGTGATATTCCTCTCGTCCCAAGGCGCAGTACATCAGGTTTGTCGCCTTCGAGTTGAGTTGAAAATTCTTCTTATTTGTATCTGTCCATTTGCCTCGTGCTTCCTTTACTTCCAATGGTCCATCCAACACTATATCCCACAAATCCGGATCTGTTGAGCAGATGAAGAGCTCCATCCTATTTCTCCAATAGCCGTAATGCACACCTTTGAATCTTGGTGGATGAGTTTGCGAAAACCCATCAGCCATGAATATGCTAGTTGATGCTGATCCGGAGCTCATCTTCTCCGGAGATGGTTTCGATTTTTATTGCCGGAGCCGGGCTCTAATACCACGTGTAGGTGGTCGAGCGCGAGACCAAATTCACCTTTTCTTCTGATTTATGCTCTTCGAGTTTTCTGCAAGAACACTAATCGAGCTAGAGGAGATCAAGTGTTGATTTCACAAAAAGGAAAAGTGAAAATGTTAAAATTAAAAGAGCTAGTATTTTGTTTCAGAACAAGATCCAACGGAAGCTTTTATTCAGGCTGGGCTTCAGTTTATCTCTTGGTTTTGTTTAAAGCTTATAACGAGTGGGCCTAGATTGAACCAACCCCGACCAACGCTGCTGATTGTCTTCCCTGCAACTCAGACTGCAGCTCCCTTGTTCCAGCTTCAACCTAGCAACAACAAAACATAGATCACATCACAAACGCATGAAAGAACACCAATCGCAATTTTATGTGGTATCCAATATTGGGAGAATAAGTATCACAATATCGATTAATCCATGGTAGGAGATTCTCCTCTTGAGATCTCCTACATAACTACTAAGATTTTCCACTTGTTCTTCTTTACAAGTGCAAACAGAATTCGCCAAGCTCCCTGCCTAGCCAACAGAATCTGGTCTGATGTATTCACTCCCTGTTTCTACACTCAGACCCTTTACAAATCTCCCTGACTTGGTTTCACGATTTTTCGTTCAAAAGACTTCTATTTGATCTCACAAAAGACAGCTTTTGTTCACTGGAAAAACCACACAATGCTTCTTCTTTTCATCCACCTTTTATAGTTTGTTTGTCCTGCCTTTAGCCGTTGGAGAGTGATTTGGGTTTGATTCCCATGATCAGCTGTGTCTTTCCTTCTTGAGACTTGCCTCTTTTTGTTCTGATTGATTTCTTTGATTCTTTCCTTCATTGCCATTGACGAGCTTCCTTCAACAGTTCCTACTAGCAGCAGCGGAGAAGAGACAAGGAAACTGACAAGCTGAAATGACAGAAGCATTGGTGGCAATAGTATAAAAGCTGTTTGGCAAAACAATTTGGATACTCAAAGGTGGTGTTGGAAACAGATTGTTTGAGCCTAGTATAGAAGCTGTTTGGAGCTGAGCAGTTACATGTTGAGCTGGGAGTTATATGCCGCAGTATTAAACAGTTGCTCAATAATGATGATACAGGGAAGTGGCAGCATGTTCAGAGGAAAGCAAACGAATTGAGATTCACCAGTTGTGTGGATTGATAGGCCTCCAATATTTCTTATTGATCAGTTGCGGCTGGATGTAATTTCTTCCACTGATTAATAAGAAGCAAGCAGGTTTTGGTAAAAAAAAAATCTTAAACTCTCACGTATTCAAAAAATAAACCAATCACCACATATATCCACTTGTTGGTGCCAGCCACCTCACCGGAGAAAGAATCTCATATACCAATTGGCCAAGGAATACGTCAAGCTCAAATGGACTGTTGGACAATTGGACTGCGCGACGGGTCATCGGTAGCTTCAATGGCTACGGGGGATTTCCTCCATAGCCATTTTTCACGATCACGATTGAAGGATTGGGTTTGGGCCTTCGGGTTGAGGGGAGGGATTGTTTGCTGGGGAAATATAACGATGGTGAGTTTGGGGAACGCCGGCGGTGGCCGACAATCGGCTGGTGGGCGGGACGACAAAGAGGGATTATGGGGTATAAACGTCAATTTAGTATAGTTTAGGAGGAATTTTTAAAAAAAAAATTAGAGCGACGAATAGCGATTCAGTTTTGTTTGCCTCTAAAAATTAGGGTTTGCTCTGAAATATCCTTTGCCTAAAAAACAACCACCAGTGAAATTTTTGTTAGCTCCCCCACACCTTTTTTATAACTTTTGGCCTGCCAAGTGCCAACTAGGCATTCATTCACTCTCGCCAAAAGATAAAAATTGCCCACCGACTTCACTCTTCGAGTAAATAGTGATTGACATGAATAATAATACAAATCATAACACTAGACTCCAACCAATAGGAAGCTAGTGTTGTGATGACTTTTTATGAGCTTAGTTGACCTAGTGTAAAATCAAAATTTTGGTCGCCGGAATTCTGCCACCGGACGCCGGAAACTGGTCGTCGTCACCGGAATATGTTTTTGTCGCCGGAATATGCTATTTGTCACCGGAATATGCTTACCGATGTCGGAATATGCTTACCGGCATCGGAATCTAGGCATCGGGGCTGTAATATGCCTATCGGTGCCGGAATCAGGTCATTGACGGTCATCGGAGTTTGGTCAACGTTTTTTGTTGATCGGTCAACGGTCAATGATCACCGGATGTTATGGTGTGCATTGTGAGATTTATGGTTTAGTTTCTTATATTTTTGTATGCCTTTTGTGGTTTGCTTTATTGTGTTTGTGGTTTGCATTGAGAAGTTTCTGATTTGCTTTCAAAAAATTTGTGGTTTGCATTGAGGGGTTTTTTGTTTGTTTTAATATATTTGTGGTCTGCATTAGAACGTTTCTGGTTTGCTTTTTTGTGGTTTGATTTACTGTGTTTGTGGTTTGTATTAGGAGGTTTTTGGTATGCTTTCGCAAATGTCGTGGTTTGTTTTAAGAGAATTGTGGTATGCATTAGGAGGTTTCTGGTTTGCATTAAGAAGTTTCTGGTGTGCTTTCAAAACTTTTGCGGTTTGCTTTGCGAGATTACTTGTTTGTTTTAATATATTTGTGATCTGCATTTGGACGTTTTTTGTTTGCTTTATTGTGTTTTGCTTTACCCTGTATGTGGCTTTCATTAGGGGGTATCGGCTGTGCTTTTCAAAAAAATGATGGTTTGCTTTGTGTTTTCAAAATATTTATTCCATTCTACCAAAAAAAATTATTCCAAAGCAGCTACTCCAGATCCTTCTCCTCGAACATCTCCTTCTCCCTTATCATCTCCGCCATGGAAAATATCTTGCCTTATCTTTCAGCTTCTTGGGAATAAATATTTTCCTAGGCCTTGAAATCCTCTCTCGGATCCTCCGACCACTTCACCACCGCGTAGCTCTCCTTCACTTTCCCTTCCACCATGCACGACATCACCCACTACGAGAACCACGACAGCCGCACTGGCAACCCAACCTCCATCGCCGCTGCCTCCTTCTTCCTCCGCCACCTGCGCCCTGCTCGTCTGTCCTTCCTCCTGGCCGCGCCGCCAAACTCTGTTTCTTCTTCGACTTCATAGTACTCCGGGACTCCTTGACTGCTAAAGAGGCCCCCAGTGCTGACGGAGGAAGTCGAGATCGTAATCCTCATCGTTTTCTTCTTCTCGACACGCCATTTCGACGACGCCTTGTTCGATGCCGTTGAATTCGTCCATGCAATGGCGGATTGAGGATCATTGCTTGCCTGAAATTGGAAGAGAAGGATCGACGGAGGCGGCAGAAGAGAGGATTGAGGAGAAGCGGTCGGGAAAGATAGGGGGGGAATCGAGAGCGATCTGGGAATTGAGATAATTTAATTTTAATTTTATTAGATTTTAGGTAAGTTTGCCCTTATACCCTTAATGAATCATGTTGTTAGTATAACAATACTTAAGGTGTTGTTATACTATCTGGGCCCCACCGGAGATAACAACATACCAATAAATATCAACCAATATTAACAATGTAGATTATATATATAATATTACCTGCCCTAGCCCTAGCCCTAGTTTTCTATCTGATTTTAGAATCGCAAGAGACCAATAAGCATGAAAGTAACACCAGCCAACGACGGCGGCGACCCAGCAGCACCAGGGACGACCCCCGACTCCAAAACGTTACCAGTAGTAATCAAATTCGGTGTATTGTTGTTCCTCGCAGCAGCTCTGCTCCTTATGACACTCCTTGCAATATGTATTCCCAGATATGAAGAGGAGTTGTGTTCGACGCCGGAAGTCATGCTCTCTTCCGCATTCATGATGGGAGAGGCAGACTAAGTTTTTAAATTCCTCTTTCTTAATGATTATAATATACTGGTGCTACAATAGAATCTTATGAATTTCACACGACACACTTTATATTTCTCCTTTGTCTACAAGGTGAACAGCTTAGCTTACAGCACAACGTGTTTGCCACCAATCAGCGGCGGCGGCGGCAACCACTCGGCCGCAGGGGTCAAGCAGCTTGCCCTCGACGTGACATTCCCTTGCGAGGACGTCACCGCCAAAGTCCACTACGACGCCTTCGAGGCCTCCATCCTGTAGATGATGATGTGGCAGCCGGTCAACGCCAGATCACCGTCACACACTTGCCACCATTTTATGCAAACCGCCACTCCATGTTGAACCTGCGCTTCTAGTACGATCAGAAGAATATTTTGAATAATGACGTCATCACCAGGTGGTCCTCTGCGGATTTCGGATTCCAGCTGCTAGTTTTGTTTCGGCGCCTGAATAAGAAAGGTAAGTTTGAGGTGTTAAGAACCAGTTGATCCCAATAACTCGAGTTTTTGAGAGATGTTCAATCGTGGATCATATTCCACAACACTAATACGAGGGACACGAGAGATCTATTCGGGAAACTTGTCATCCCTTTACGATCGGGTCTCCCCCGCTGGCCAGACCTCTCACCGCGAACTTGAATTGCGATATGGAATTACTACCAAGGAAATGAAACACGTACAGTGGATTCGATTCGATTAGTATATAGGCTATCAATTGATCAAGTGTAGGGGCTTCTTTTATCTTTCGTTCTTTTTTCGGTTTTGCGTTATGTTCGTATTGTATTATTCAGTTTTGTTAATTATCTAGTACTTATCAAACTTTACTTTGAAGTTAAAAGGTTAATTTTGTAACACCCTAGCTCGGCCGAGCACTACTTTTACTAAAATGCCCTTGAAAAATAAAATACTCAAATCATAAATTGCAACGGAAACAATTTTCATAAACAAAATACTGAAATTACTTTTTTTTATATTTCAAAGCAACGCCCTAACACGTGGGCAAATTAAACTCAATCTTTAAAACTTAACTTGATCTCTAGTCTATACTCATAATCATAAAACATAGTAACTAACTAGTCTCGAGTGTTGCTTCCGCCTTTTAAACTTTAACTCTTAAAAACGTATTAGTTCTTCCTTTATCTTATTATGGGGCCCCTACCTCGACTTAGCTGGCGCCACTACTAGAATTACTTACTTTCTTACTTCTTAAACATGACTACCCTCACAATGGGGTGCCCCTCAAATGGGTTTGACCACTGCGGAACGAATCACCATCCGGTGTCAAACTACGGCGTGACTACCGCGGAAAAGTATCACCATCCGGTAGCACACCTAAACCTACGCAATGGAAACCGCGGAACTTATCACCGTCCGGTAGTGATCTGTCTAGCTAGTGGCTAGCTAAGCGAGGTTAACTTATTCTTACTTATGACTTTCTCTTGCTCTTATCACTTTAACTTAACCGTCAAACGAAACGTAAAAGCTTTAATTAAGTACTCAAAGCTCATAAACATATCCTTCAAACTATGAATTAAAAGAACACACATCATCATCCATAAACATAAGGAAGAACACAATTTCACCTAACACAACTTCTTAAACACGTAAGGCAATTACTTGAAAAATACGTAAGGCGTAGGATTTACCCCCTTTACACTCACCTTAGCCATTGGATTATTGACTCACTTCTACTGTCACTCCAGGAATTGGCCAAGTGAAACCACTTCCTAAAGCGTAGTATATCGGGTTTGGGTTTAATTATCAACCCGGGTCCTAGATTTGATGACTACTCAGTGAATTCTTGTTATCTAGCAATGAAACTTTAATGTAAGTCTAAACTAACAAACTAACAAAGCAAGTAAACTGTTGTATTCAGGTTAAGAGAGGTCACCCGGATATGGTTCCCCCTAGATTGCAGTTAAGCCAGATTGTAATTACCAAGTTCAGTTTCTATGATAGTTATACTGCGGAAGGTTCTTAAACAGCCTGAAGTCTCGACTAAAGGTCTTCAGACCCTCTCAATCTGAGTCTCTAGCGGGTGACTAACCTCCACCGGAGTAAACAGATTGAGGCCTTAACAAACAAAACCTCCACTACCGGAGTAAATCCGGTACATAATAGTGAGTTGGCTCCTCGACTAAAGTCACCAACTCCCTACCTTCAATCAAGGATGCTCTATCAACCTAGGCAGATATTCTCATTCTAGGTTAAAGCAGAAACAGCAGGAATTTGATCAGGATTCATGCCATTCAATCATTCAAACCTCAATTGAACATAATCAAATCATAGAATCAGTACTTGGGCTCATACAATCAAAGCCTAACATACAAATCTAGGGTTCTCCATACCCAGATGAATGGGAGAACTACTCCATGGAGAAAGAAGCAAAAGCAGAATAAGACGCGGAATTCATACTGTGAAGGATGGATTCCTGCTCCTGGACGTTGATCGGCACTTCTCCAAGCTCAAACTGGCCTCCAATGGTGATGAAGATCAAGCTAGGGCACTTGGAGACTCTTGTTCGTCGCTTTCTCTCTCTAGGAATCGTTCTCTCTCTCTAAAACTCGAATCCCCTTCTCTTTGGCTGAAAATCTGCTTTAAAGGGCATCAGTGGCCAAAGCACGGTCGAGGGCACGGCCGTGTAATGCCTCAGCCCGCCCGTGCTTTGGCTAGGGTTAATTACACGGCCACTGCATTGGGGGAAACACGGGCGTGTTTCATGATGGACACGACCGTGCTTTGGTGGCCACGGCCGTGATTTCTCTAAGCCCTGCCCGTGTTTTTAGCCAATGTTTGCCAAAGTCGAATTTTCTCTCGGCAGTAAAAGCACGGCCACAGAACACGGCCGTATTCTGTTTTAGGTCTGCCCGTGTTTTGGCTCCAGCTCGACGAAATGACTTCCGAATGCCCCGAAACTCGTGCTTAGCCTTACCTTTGATGCCTGGGACCTGAAATATGACAAAATAGCACAACCCGGCGTAAAATAGGCCAAAATACACGACTATGCCTCTCAAACGGGTAAGAATTAGGGGTGCAAATACGTGCAATTACATCGTTATCAAATTCCCCCACACTTAACCGTTTGCTTGTCCCCAAGCAAACCAAGTCAGACACAAGGTAAGCTCAACAACAAGGCATGACATATCGGCACAAAACTCGTGGATCATACTGGCTTTTGATCATTAACACATGGACAACTTCAATGACAACCTAGACAACCACCACAGATGACATTCGAATGCAGTAAAATCGAACAAAGGAAGAGTCTCCCTTCTGTTCACCAACCAACATAGACCTGACTCAACCACTTGTTCAAAACAGTCAGGTCATGCACAAAGTTCAAGATATCAGAATTAAGACCGAGCAATCTAGGTCCTCACCGGGATAAAGAGTATAGAGAATAAGAGAAAATGAATCGCTCACTCTCGACCAGTGGGGTCAGGACAATATTGATGCGAAAAATGCGCATGCTTAATCTCTCAATCCCTAACATCTCTTCATCATGAATGTAGCCTCTAAATGCTAGAGTTTACATATGGGGTGTCATCACTAACTAATCCGGAGGTCTTAGACACAGGTTCAGATGACTGGCTAGGGTCTTGGACATGGGGAAAAGGCCTTTTAGGTGGTGGAAGTATTCATACAACAGAAGGTTCCACATTTCCAATCCCAACAGACTCACAATCAATCAAACCAATAACTTTCTTTCTGCTATTCTGCATTACTCAAGTTCAAAGCACAAGAGCGAAGGAGGTTACATAAATGCCAGTATTTCTAAGCCAGACTGCTAAGAAACACTACTACATGGGCATTATTCAGATTTTTGGTGGTGGCTCTCTTTTGCTTTCATTTTTTTTTCCTTGTTTTTCTTTCATTATTTTTCATTTCATAAGAGAACCACCGCCTCTGCACATTTTCAAACACCTGCCCAACTTTTAAGCACTACCTCCAACCCTCACATTACATTTAGCAGAAACAGCAGAGAACATGTAAAAATCACTCTGTGGAACCTTCTAAAAGATGCAAAAGGGTGACTTTTCATTGAAAACCGAAAGAAAGAAAACACACGGCTCAAAGGGGCTGACTAGGGGTATGACACACCAGGACAGTCAATTTGGTCGTGGGCTAATCCTATGCCTCCATCATCTTAGCTAATGACAACGTGAATGCTGCACATTATGGAAGAGGAAACTATCGCACAAGAAAGAAACGAGCAGGCTCAAATCTCACATGGCTACCTATATGCTCTATCTCTCGTTCTGATTCCCTGAACTAGATGCATAAATGACTGTGAAAAGCAAGTGATCAAACCAAGTCACATTTGGTGAGCAGACAGTTGAAAAACTGAACCCCTACACAATTCTACTGCACATCTCAATCACAATAAGTTGTCTAAGTCACACTCAAGTTGTCATGTATCAAGTCAAAAGCCATTCAATTCACTAATCACATCCACAGTGCCAATACGATCAATCATCAAGCAAACAGCCGTGCTTGGAGCCCTCAAATCTCAAGATTTGGACAGTGGACTAGGCTCCAAGCACACATATATACGTTCCAATTCATACAAAGAACCCCCCCCCCCCCCACACTTAAACGCGATAATGTCCTCAATGGAGCAGAGGGAAGGGGCACGATGTTACCGTGAAACAGTGGTCAGGAACGTTGACTGGATGGCGGACCAGTCAAAAGAAGGAGGCACAGAGCTAGAGACAACAAAAAACACACACACTGGGTGATAGGAATCAGAGTACCAAGTCTTCAATCCAAGATTAAAAAACAAAACGAAATCACAAAACACGGAGTCTCAGTCTAGAACAGAAATAAAGCACAAAACCCGCTCTAGAAGGCATCACCACCATCACCGGTGGGTGGAGGGTACTCATCCTCGAACCCTGGGGACTGCACGAACGGGTAGTGGACCCCGTTCGGGTCCAAGCCCAAGTAGGACATGATGTAGTGCTGCCCCGACATGAGACGACGCCCTTGGTCCCGCTCGCGGTCAAGGCGGGTGTGGGAGATGGGTACCACCACTAGAGGAGGTGACCCTGGAGAAGGAGACCGGAGAGCAGGAGAGGGGCTCGCGGGAGCCTAGGCACGACGGGGAACGCGACGGGGAACGCGGCGCCCACCAGCGGCGCTCGACTCGGCCTGGTCGCCCTCTGCAGGTATAGGTGGCTGAGGAAGGCCCGCAATCCAGCGCACACGCCCGAAGCAAGCAACCAAGTGCTGATGGCGAAGAGTAGGCTCACCGAGTGGGGT